CTAGGCATCTTCCAAAACATATAAAAGCATAATAAAACATCCCTTGTTTTCTGCTCATTTGTGAAATGGAAATAAAACAAAAAAAAAGTCTTATTTCACAAAACAATTCTCGCATACGTAGAGGTCCCAAAATATTACATTTATTAATACTTATTCAAAGTGTTTCTTTTGAGCTTTTTATGTACACCATATACACAGGGCCAGCAACATGGTGCTGTTAAGATGTTGTTGGACTGTGGTTCCCATCACCCCCAGTCAGCATCGTCAATGGTCAAGGATGATGGGAGCTGAAGTCCAACAACATTGGGAAGGGAACTTGTCCCATGCCGTCCCCAAATCATGTCTAGAAGGTTTATGGGGTGCGCAGGCGTGAGGTGGGCGTGAGGTGTGTGGGGGAGTTCCATTGTTCAAGTGGAAATCCTTGCACCGATAGAATGAGTTTGTTAAATAACACTCCCCATGCTACCCACCTTGACACAGGCTGATAATTATGGTAATGGAAAGCTCCTGAATTAAAAACACAAAGAACCTGAGACTCAAGATCCAAATGGAGCCAGCAAGCATCGGCAAAGCTGATAGTTCTTTAGAGAAAGGAGGAAACCCATTACAACCCCTCTAGGAATTCAACTTGCTGGGGGGAAAGTACAGCAGTGCTCTGACAGCACCAGGCACCGAAACTTTATTGTTTCAATATATTTCTTTAGAGACCCTACCCATCAGTTGCCACAATATCATTTTCTAATACGCAGTGAGAAAGTTGCACCCTGAAGCCAAAGAGAACCCTTTTTTTCATTTTGAAAGGGGAGAAGATATTCAAAGTGAAGTAAGGGACAGCCACAAAAGCAAAATGAAAGAGAAGCAGCTGTGATCTCTCTATCTCTATCTCTCCCTTTGCTCCTGCTGCTGCACATTCTAGCGTCATATATTGCCAGGTTATTTTAGGGAACTGCTGAGGGAAGATGTTGGTTGCAAGAATGGGCAACCAAAATGATTGGGAGGCAGTGTGAGCCTCCATATACCAGTTGTTGAGGATAACAGGTAGGGCGAGTGCTGTTGCCCTCAGGTACTATAAGTCAGGCTATAGGCACTTGGTTGGTTACTTCTGGGAACAAGATGGCGCACCTGTTGTTGTTGTTACAGTGGTACCTCAGGTTAAGAACTTAATTTGTTCTGGAAGTCCGTTCTTAACCTGCAACTGTTCTTAACCTGAGGTACCACTTTAGCTAATGCGGCCTCCTGCTGCCACTGCGCCACCGCCACGTGATTTCTGTTCTCATCCTGAAGCAAAGTTCTTAACCCGAGGTAATATTTCTGGGTTAGCGGAGTCTGTAACCTGAAGAGTCTGTAACCTGAAGCATCTGTAACCCAAGGTACCACTGTAATGTATTTATTAAATTTGTTTACCGCCCTATATCCATAGATCTTGGGACGCAGGTGGCGCTGTGGGTTAAACCACAGAGCCTAGGACTTGCCAATCAGAAAGTCGGCGGTTCGAATCGCCGCGATGGGGTGAGCTCCTGTTGCTCGGTCCCTGCTCCTGCCAACCTAGCAGTTCGAAAGCACGTCAAAGTGCAAGTAGACAAATAGGTACCGCTCTGGCGGGAAGGTAAACGGCGTTTCCGTGTGCTGCTCTGGTTCGCCAGAAGCGGCTTAGTCATGCTGGCCACATGACCCGGAAGCTGTACGCCAGCTCCCTTGGCCAATTAAGCGAGATGAGCGCTGCAACCCCAGAGTCGGCCACGACTGGACCTAATGGTCAGGGGTCCCTTTACCCTTTACCTTTTATCCATAGATCTCAGGGCGGTTCACAACATAAAATGACAATATTTTTATAAAAAAAACAACAACCACAAAATACATTTTTAAAAATTATTATCAAAGGGCTGGAGCAACTCCCCTATTAAGTTGCTCCAGCCCTTTGAGTCTCCTAATTGTACAGTCTCCAATGAAGGTGAAGGATGAAAGCTTCAGAACAGACAAAATAAAGTACTTCTACACACAGTTAAAACTATGGAATTTGCTGCTGTGAGATGCAATGATGGCCACCAATGTGGATGGCTTGAAAACGAAATTAAGACACGTTCATGGAGGTTTTGGTTTGCAATGGCAAGAAGCCTACATAATACCTAGTATTAGAAATGTTGTGCCAGTTCTTGTGGGGCACAGATGGGAAGAGGGCCGGGGGTCTCATGTCCTGCTTGTGGACTCCCCACAGGCCGACTGGGTTGGCCAGTGAGAGCAGAGCACTGGCCCAGAGTGTCCTGAGGTCCCATCCAGCTGGGTTTTTCTCCTGCCCTTTCTTCACAAAGCCCAGTTAGCCTAGTGGGGGGGGGGACTGATTTTCAGCTGGAAGCAGAACTAAAGCAAAGGCTCCACATAACTTTTTAATATTGTGTTATTTATTATCTCCAGCAGTGTCTACTTTGATGGGCAAGTTCCTGCATATATTTGCACAGAAGCAGTGGTGTGTTTTCTGGGAAATTTTGAACTGATTTTTTCCAGGGAAATTTGCAATGCAAATTAGGGCAGTTTGTGCTGTCCTTATGCCCTTTAGACTGATCTAAGTCAGCATGTTTATTTTACTTGTATATAGTGAAGAAAGATAAAAACATTTGAAACTGCCCAGCTTGCCTTATATTGTTTTTTTGTTTCATCTGACATTCTTTTATTGTTACTAATAATTTACAAAACAGACAATTTCCCATGGGGGGAAAATAGGGAAATCTTAACTCCCACAGAACAGATTCATTAATTCCAGGAGAAGCCTGACTTCATGTCAGTGACACTCAAACTTTTATCCCTATTTAAGAAATAGCCTTGGCTCATCATTTTGATGGGCAGGCAATTTTTGAAGATGTTAGATTATTAAACATTTTGTCTCCCATAAGCCTCCATGTGGGGAAAAAGTTGAACATTAACTTATGCAGATCCACGAGTTGACAGTATTAGGACGGAGTAGAGTAATCAAATATTTAATACCAATGATTACATTGATCACATGTATTCTTTAATTAATGGTGCAGTCATTAATTAATCAATCGGTGCATAGAACAAAGCAAAATGGTTGCTTTATAAATAAACGTTGTCCAATATCTTGACAGTTATTTTGAAATGCCGTTAACAAAAAGAAGAATGGAACAGATTGGGTCCTGATACTAATCCTTGGAGGTAGAGGAGACATTTATTATTTTCCTTGATGTGAGAATCACCTTCTACTTGCTGTTTGTAAGGATGACCTCTCCCTTTTAAGCCGTACTATTTTTCTAAAAAAAGAGGTGCTGGAACTAAGTTCCTGTGAGTTCCCCCTGGAAAAAACCTCTGCTTTTAACCCATACGTAAAGACACCATAAAATCCACTGGCACGGGATCAACAGTAAGCTACAATACATTAGGATGTTAGTGTTATTGCCCTTAGTAAATAACACATGCATCATACTTAAAAGGCTAAAACTCAGTTATCTTAGATACGTTTCCATTTTCAAGACAGACAAGAGGTATATTACAGCTAAAGAGGTACATTTGCCTGGTGGACTCCAGCATCAGGGTCAAGCTTAGTAAGTAGCAGTAACTTGCAGAGAGAACGGAAAGCACAAAAACAGATGCCACACAGGCTAAATGGGCACAGCTGGTGGGTTTGCTAACTACTTTCCATGTTCATCGCTCTTTTAACAACATAGGGCCCATTGCCTTCTCTTGATCTGTAATCCACACAGGGCCTCGAGGAAGCAAATGACCTAAAACAAAATGATTTGTTAACTCTACACAGTGGAGCAAATGAATAGAGCGTGATATCACCTTTGAGCATAGCAACCAGTTCCTTCCTGAAGGCGGTGCTCAGCAACAAACCCATGGTCTCTGTGAGCATGCAGCTGCAATGTGGAAGAGAAACAGCAGGAGGCTTAACCTTTGCCCAGCTCCACTTACCACTGAAATCTCTTCTCCAGCTGAGGCTTCAGAAGCAACTTTGCCATGTTATCATGAAAAGCAACACAGGAGAGGAGGTTGCAAGGGAAACTTAGTGGGTGAAGCATTAAAGCACACCCTTCTTCTTGCTGCTTTTATGCTACAAATCCCCTCTACCTTGCTTTACATTAGTTTGGAGACCCAGGTTTGCCATAAGAGTCCTGACTGAGCCAGCCAGGTGGTTAAAGGTAAAGGACCCCTGGAAAGTTAAGTCCAGTCAAAGGCAACTATGGGGTGTGGTGCTTATATCGCTTTCAGGCCAAGGGAGCCGGCGTTTGTCCACAGACAGCTTTCCAGGTCATGTGGCCAAGAATGACTAAACTGCTTCTGGTGCAATGGAACACTGTGGCGGAAACCAGAGCTCACGGAAACACCGTTTACCTTCCCGCCACAGCAGTACCTATTTATCTACTTGCACTGGTATGCTTTCAGACTGCTAAGTTGGCAGAAGCTGGGACAGAGCAACAGAATCTCACCCCATCGAGCAGATTCAAATCCGTCGACCTCCTGATTGGCAAGCCCAAGAGGCTCAGTGGTTTAGACCACAGCACCACCCGTGTCCCTCTATCAGCTAAGAGACACTGCCTGCAGGCACAGCAGAACTGAAAGGGCAGGGCTAATGCTGTACATTCCCACTACCCCCCTCCATGTCTTTGGAAGTCAACACCTAAATAGGTGGCGTTGGTGTGTGTGAATTGCTGAAAGGGGAAGGGGCGAAACATCTTAGTGCCTCATTTTCCCCCACTAACTGCTCCCATCACATCTTTTAAAAGACACATCTTGATGAAAGCTATGTTGTACGTTGGAGTGAAATCAAATCAAATGAAGACGGCTTCCCCCCTGTGAGGTGATACTTAAAGGAAAAAAAGGCTCCCGGAAGAGAAAGTTCTTTGTAGAGTAATTAGCTATAATACACTTCTTTGAGACAACAGATCAAACAAAGCCTTTTTAAAAAGCAGTGTTGGGAGGTGGGGAGGAAGAGAGGAGACAGACTTCCTTGAAGGACTATAACCAATGCTTAGAATTTAGACGTTGGGTGTTCATCTCAATTCCAGACAGTGCAAAATGCTCAGATATGTAAGTTCATCTGAAGTTGCAGGAAGTCACAGCAAGAAATCTTTTGAGAACTCAGTTGTGTCTCTTTAGTAAAGCTCAGAAGCTAGGATCCAAAGACTTGGCTGAGTACCATGTGCTCAATGGGCATTTTGGACTTACATCAGTCTTAAGAGCAGTCACATTATATATTAAAACTGAGGGCGATTTCAAATGACACATGAGATATAGAATCATAGAATCTTTGAGTTGGAAGGGACTCCAAAGGTCATCTTGTACAACCACTGCAATGCAGGAATCTCAGCTAAAACATCCATGACAGATGGCCATCCAACCTCGGTTTAAAAACCTCCAAGGAAGGAGAGTCCACCACTTCTTGTGGGAGTCTGTTCCACTGCCAAGCAGCTCTTACTGTCAGGAAGTTTTTCCGAATGTTTAGTTGGAATTTTCTTTCTTGTAACTTGAAGCCATTGGTCCTGCCCTCCACAGCAGGAGGAAAGAAGCATGCTCTCTCTTCCATGTGACAGCCCTTAAGATATTTGAAGGTGGCTATCACATCTCCTCTTGGTCTCCTCTTTTCTAGGCTAAACATACCCAGCTTCTTCAAGCGCTCCCCATAAGGCTTAGTTTCCAGACACTTGATCATCTTGGTCGCCCTTCTCTGTACACATTCCAGCTTGTCAACACCCTTCTTAAATTGTGGTGCCGAGAAATGGACGCAGTATTCCAAGTATGGTCTGACTAAGGCAGAATATAGTGGTACTATTACTTCCCTTGATCTGGACACTTTACTTCCTACATTTTACCAACCAGCTTCCTTGCAAGAATATAATGGGGGACTTTGTCAAAAGCCTTACTGAAATCAAGATACACTATGTCCACAGCATTTCCCTGATTCACCAAGTTTGTAATTCCACCCAGAAAAGAAATCCGCTTGGTCTGGCATGACTTATTTTTGAGAAACCCATGCTGGGTCTTAGTAATCACAGCATCCTTTTCTAAACGTTCACATACCGACTGTTGAATTATCTGTTCTAGGACCTTCCCTGGCATTGATGTCAAGCTCACCAGTCACCTCCAGTCTGTAGGGATCTCACCTGTTTTCCAAAAATTCTCAAAGATAAAAGACAAAGGCTCTGAAATTACATCTGCAAGCTCCTTTAGTACCCTTGGAAGCAGCTCATCAGGCCCTGAAGATTTGAATTCATTTAAAGTAGCTAGGTGTTCCCCTTACTACCTCTTTTCTTATCTTGGGCTGCAGCTCCCTCCTTACATCATTTATTCTGTTACCACCAGGTTGGGCATCACTTTCCTTTGGGGTGAAGACAGGGACAAAGTAGGTGTTGAGTAGTTCCACCTTTTCTATGTCACCCAATAGCATTTCTCCATCTTCCCCACACAGAGGACCTACCACTTGCTTGTTCTTCCTTTTACTTTAGACAAAGCTGAATAAACCTTTTTTAAAAAATAAATAAAAAAAATTAACCTCTCTTGCAAGCCTGAACTCATTCTGAGCTTTAGCCAGCCTGACTTTCCCCCTGCAACTGTTGGCTACTCATGCTTACTTCTCCTTTGTGCAATGGGACAGGGTCTGACATTTGTCCTGCAGCCACCACCAACTTCTACACCTGGAATGAAGACACAGGGCATCACACCTGGATTTAAATAAAATATGGATTTAAACAAGCTGCAAGCTGCAAAGGGCAAGGTCCAAACTCTGCCACAATCTCCATAACAATGCCTTCATCTAAAGTGAGCACTAAGAAGTTCTGCCTCAGAGGCAACTCCACCCTGTCTGTAGAGGCTTCCTTAATGTTTTCTATGCAGTTCCTTCATTCAGCCAGAGCTGGATGGAGGTGCAGAGGCTGAATACCTTGCCTGACACCACTCCACAGTCAAGAGCCTAGAGACAAGACAGAACATCACACAGCCTGAAAGGCCTACATCAAAGGGCTCAACCCCTTCCAGCAGAAGCATGACAGCAAGGATACCCAACGCAGTAGGAGCTGTTGAAACTCAGACAGCTTCCAGGACAGGATGCCAAAAGCAGGTCTCAGAGTACTAAGCCTGGATTTTATTAACACTATTGAGATATGAGTTCCAATACAAAATTGTGCTCTTGGAGAAGTTAAAATTCTGACACAAAGCACAGCTACAGGTGTGTTGAATAAAGCCCCATTTTAAAAAGGGACAGCGGTTAATTCAGTAGGCTGTTGCATATGAACAAATGCTTAATGCTAGTGCCTTTTTGCTATCTGCTTTCTAGGAATCAAAAGCCTACGACTGAGCCCTAGTTCCAGCACAAATACACTTTGCCCTCTCTATATTCTTGAAAAGCTTTGTGCTCAAAGTGTGTCCAACTGATCTGTAATGGCCATCATCTGACAATCAGTTCATTTGCACCAGGCTAAGTAGGGGACAAGTGTGCTGGAACAAAAGTCATTGTATTAGGATGAATTTAGGGAACTTTAGCGGGGGGAGGAAATAACTCTACACAGCCATTGACAGACTAAGGACAGAAGGCTTGACAATAGCCATGGTGAATCACACGAAACAAAGACAGAGAGACTCCTCAAATGCCCTTTGGTCTTTTGAACTATCACATTATTTTTAAGTCTTTATTTAGGACAGCTGGATCCTCTCTATTTTTTGAGGGTCAAGATATTTCTTTTGTAAATTTTAGTATATCCTTAAAGGAAAAGAAATAGAACAAAAATGCACTCATCCAAATGTCTTTCCGCCAGTCACCTTGACTTGTTTACAGAATGGCACTGAGATGGTGGCAATCTGCCTTTCTTCAGTTTTTGATTTTTTATTTGTGTGTGGGTATATAAGCAGCTTACCAATTGTTTTCAGCTCCTGGTGCTTCTCCTCCTTTCAGGCTACTGCTGTGCCCAAAGAGCTGTGCAACTTAGTTAGACCACTACACAAAATGAAATCCTGAAATCATGTTTCTGTTTTGTGCAGAGTTACAATTGAAGCCACTCTCCATTCCCACACGTCAGAGATGAACACTGCCAAATAGTGCAGGTGTCAATTCTAAGATTGATCTTTGAGCTTTTCTTAACTGAAACAGGAAAGCATGTGGAATGAATCATTGGGTCAAATCTACAAACCGTAGCCAACCACACCCTAAGCCACCATCCGCTCTCACAACCAAGGAAATCCAAGTGAATAGTAAGAGAACCCATACAAGTAATGCTGACACAAACTCCCCCCTCACTAAGTAGAAGAATAGAAGCATAACCACCTGACCCCACCCCACTCACCATTCCCCCTCTCCTTCCTTCCTTCCTTCCTTCCTTCCTTCCTTCCTTCCTTCCTTTCTTTTTCTTTCTTCTTAACTGTTTAAACCAATTCATGAACCAAGAACCTGTACATTGACCACTAATAATGAAACATATGTTGTAGATATTTTTCCACATTCATTATGCTATTTTTGTGATATACAAATGACATGAGAAAACTTGGTACTGTATACTTGTTTGCATAACATTATTCTTGTTTACAAAACCCAAGAAAAAACCCAAAGTGGAATTGGTGGGAAGGGGACATTCACACATCCTTACTGAGAAAACCAGGCAAAATGGCAGGTTAATGCTTTTTATCTGCAAAAATGAGTCTCTTGCGTGAGTTTCTGATCCAGGTAAGAACTTGGAACTGGCTCGAGTCAATGATAAGTGAATCCTTCCAGGGTGGCCCGTTCGCAACATGAAAAGGGTGCAACACGCAGTGGCGCATCTGCGCACACACGGGGTTGCGATTCACCGCTTCTGTGCAAGCATGTGACGTCACTTTGTGCTTCTGTGCATGCGCAAGCAGCGAAACCCGGAAGTAACTCTTTTCGGTACTTCCAGGTCGCCACAGGACATAACCTGAAAGAACGTAACATGAAGCAAACGTAACATGAGATATGACTGTATTTATTTATTTATTTATTTATTTTTGCATTGCGCTCTTTCCACATGTTCAGCCAAAAGGTTTGTTTGCAACATAATGTGTTACAATTCCTGCCTTCAAGAGAGGAGTCCTCTATTTTTACTTTTTTTTTAATGTATTTGAATTTGTATCACCACTGCAGTCTATTGCAACTACTGCTTGGAAGAAGTGAGCAGCAGATGGAGCATGACAGCCTCAAAATCCTTGGCAGAGAAGCAACAGATGTAACCCTGGCAAAGAGGAGGGAATACGAAGAGGGTTTTGCCAGAAATGCTCTCACACCAGCAGTTAAGGGGAGAGCGCCAAAGAATGTCTTGAGAGAACTGCAATCCATCTCAAGAATTGCACATGCCTAAACCATGGTCTGTACATTAATTGCCCATCTTTCCCATATGATGTAGGAATGACAAAGGAGACATAACATGAATGGCTACAGAATATAAAAAAGGTAAGGTAAAGGTAAAGGAGGGACAAGGGTGGCACTGTGGTCTAAACCACTGAGTCCAGGGCTTGCCAATCAAAAGGTCGGCAGGTTCAAATCCCCACTACAGGGTGAGCTCCCGTTGCTCGGTCCCTGCTCCTGCCAACCAAGCAGTTTGAAAGCACGCCAAAAAGTGCAAGTAGATTAATAGGTACCGCGTTCCCAAGCACTGCTCTGGTGTCAGTGTTCCATTGAGCCAGAAGCCGTAGTAAGTCATGCTGGCCACATGACCCAGAAAAAATGTCTGTGGACAAACGTCATCTCCCTCGGCCTGTAAAGCGAGATGAGCAACACAACCTCAGAGTTGTTCGCAACTGGACTTAACTGTCAGGGGTCCCTTTACCTTTACCTTTAAAGGTAAAGGACCCCTGAATGGTTAAGTCCAGTCAAAGGCAACTAAGTGGTTGTGGCACCCATCTCGCTTTCAGGCCGAGGGAGTCGGTGTTTGTCCACAGACAGCTTTCCAGGTCATGTGGCCAGCAGGACACAGTGACGGAAGCCAGAGCGCATGGAAACACTGTTTGCCTTCCTAAAGATTTCTGTTTCTGTAGAATGTTTTGGGGTACCTCCTTTCAAGTAAGTAACTTCAGAAGAAAGTCGTGAAGAAATATTTGCTCAAACTGGCTTTAAGGAGCAGCATTGAAGAAGCAAGCGAAAAGGGCAACAATTAATGAGCTCTTGGCAGGATTTCCTCCACTCTGTGATACAAAACAGAGACTGGTCACACAAGCAGGGCCCTGTGACACCCCTCACAGGTCACCAATCTTTACTTGAATGCAATGTCTCAATCTCCACTTTTAGCATCACTCTCACATCTAGCAGAAGCTGTTGGTTCATTTTCCTCATTGAATGGACTATTATTAAACTGGGGGTGGTGGGGGGAAGCAAATGGTTGACATTTAGATTTAGCTCCACACTCCTTGCTTCTAAGATATGTTGTTGTTGTTTAGTCATTTAGTCGTGTCTGACTCTTCGTGACCCCATGGGCCAAAGCACGCCAGGCACTCCTGTCTTCTAAGATATAGGGAAAGGTAAAGGGACCCCTGACCATTTGGTCCAATCGCAGACAACACTGGGGTCGTGGCGCTCTTCTCGCTTTACTGGCCGAGGGAGCCGGCGTACAGCTTCCAAGTCATGTGGCCAGCATGACTAAGCCGCTGCTGGCGAACCAGAGCAGTGCATGGAAACGCCATTTACCTTCCCGCTGGAGCGGTACCTATTTATCTACTTGCACTTTGTGCTTTTGAACGGCTAGGTTGGCAGGAGCTGGGACAGAGCAATGGGAGCTCACCCCATCATGGGGCTCTGTGGTTTAACCCACAGCGCCACCCGCGTCCCTAGGCTCTGTGGTTTAACCCACAGCGCCACCCGCGTCCCTTGCTTCTAAAGTATATCTGTCCATAAATTCTGAAATTTGTTAATGGTATATAAGCCCATTTATAGCAACATGTAAAGGGACACGGGTGGTGCTGTGGGTTAAACTACAGAGCCTAGGACTTGCCGATCAGAAGGTTGGTGGTTCAAATTCCCGTGACAGGGTGAGCTCCCGTTGCTCGGTCCCAGTTCCTGCCAACCTAGCAGTTCGAAAGCACGTCAAAGTGCAAGTAGATAAATAGGTACTGCTCCGGTGGGAAGATTTCTATGCGCTGCTCTTGTTCGCCAGAAGCGGTTTAGTCATGCTGGCCACATGACCCGGAAGCTGTACGCCGGCTCCCTCGGCCAATAAAGCGAGATGAGCGCCGCAACCCCAGAGTCGTCTGCGACTGGACCTAATGGTCAGGGGTCCCTTTACCTTTACCTTATAGCAACATGTAGCCAAACAGTATTTGATTGAGCCAGCCACTATTGTAGGATTCATTTTCTCCCCCCCAAGCAACTTCTGTTATGGATTTATCTCTCACTCACCTGCAGAAACCTCTCATCTTAAAGGTGCTTTCCATTTAATCATACCTTTTGTTATGACAAACTGTTATTAGAGTTGCACGCAGCATTGTACTTTTCCATTTCGTATGTGTGTGGGCTGTTCAACAGGAAACAAAATAAATTGCGTGTTCGGCGCCTAATATTGTTACAGAGGAAACAAGAAGAAGAACTAAATAATCATTTCCCCCTGCCTAAGAGCTGCACGCAGCTTGACGCAAGAGATCTGGACAAAAATAAGCAAGTGCAATTTTCTGCAGCGGAGATGGGGGACCTGTGACCTTCCAGATGTTGTCAGACTCCAACTCCCATCAGCCCCAGCTGACAGGGCCAATGGCCAGGGATTATGGGAGCTGTAGTCTAACAGCATCTGCAGGACTACTAGTTCAGCATTCCGGCTATACAATAGTCCTAGATATGTGTTACTCATGTGTAGGCATACATGAGTACAGCCTAGGGCAGTGTTAGCCCCCACCCCCAGATGTTGGGTCCTCTTTCTTTCTTTTTAAACAACCCCCATGCTGCACAAGAAATCCTCTTCGCGTGTAAGACCTCTGTGCTATTTGGACACTAGGTTCACTGGGGTCCTTAATGTGAAAACCCCTACATCTTTTGGAGCAGCTTGGACACTGGCATAGGAACACAGGTCAGGATGGGCTGCCTAATTCCATTCAGTTCAGATGCTCATTTCCCCGTCCCCCATTCCTTGTCCCGTTCTGTCCCATTTCCATGTCAAAGAATGGTTTCTTTCCAAAATGCATGAAAAATGTGTGTGTGTGTGTGTGTGTGTGTGTGTGTGTGTGTATACATATAAAACTTCCGCTTTGGCCATAGGTGCATGAGGTTTCATGGGGAGTTTTTGTTCCGTTTTACCACATTTGAAAAATATATTATTTTTGCCATTCCTCTCTATACACACGCATACCCAAATTGAGAACCTCTTTGCAAAATCAGGAAAACTGCACTACCTGGAAGTTTGATGCACTGCATCCCACAGAGAATTCTGGGTGGTGTGGGTCAGTTTGCTTCACTTTGGAATGTGAACTAGACAAAAGCCTTGAGCATCCCCAGCTGCAGGGAAAGCTGTGTTGATTTATTTTAATGCTACTTGGCACCACATTTGTATTATTTAGCATAATGTAATGTGTTAAAAGTAACAACAGCTGGCCAAAAGTTCTAAAATTAGAGTGAACCTATAAGTTTTCTTGTGAGAACTTTGGTATTCTGTTTTGATGGGAGGATTTTGCCCCTGGTTACAGAAATGGGGCTAACACCAGGGGAATGAATATATATATATATATATAGTTTGGGAGGCTTACCATGTATGGAAATATGACTCCTTTCTTGTCTGCTTTAAATGCAATGACAGTGACAATGACAGTGGCGGCAGTGACAAAACTGTAGTGCTCAACAGCCTCCAACTTGCACCCCACACTTTCTCCAAACCCCCCTAAAGGATGACCAGATGTAGTTTTGCTCCAGGACATTCTGGAGGAAAATGGCAGCCATTGGCTGTGTGTTCAGAAGACAGTCATCACCAAATAGCAGCTGCACTAAAATTGTCTGTGCAAGAACACAAAGATCAGGCCAAAGACCTAATCAATCCAGCATCCTGCTTTCACTGTGGCCAACCAGATGCCTATGGGAAGCCCACAAGCCCCCAAACTGGCTGTGGAGAGATGGAAGAACCTGCAGAACAGTGTGCAGGTGGAGGAGGAGGGAGGAATAATTCCATATGGCAAGTTGAAATGCTTGTGCAGATGCAACGATTGGAAAAGCGTCAGAGAATGGTTCCACCTTCCTATCTTAGGGAGAAGGCAAGATGCTATGGGAGGAGGCGAGCCCTCAGATACCCTGGGCCCAAACCATTTAGGGCAGGAACAGGGAACCTGTGTCCTTCCAGATGTTGATGGACTTCAACTAGCATCATATCCAGCCCACATAATCAATGGTCAGGGCTAACAGAAGGTGTAGTTCAACAACATGTAATTCACTGGTCCAAATAGCTCAGTTGGTTAGAGCATGGTGCTGACAATGTCAAGGTTGCAGGTTCGATCCAGGGAAGCTGCATATTCCTGCATTGCAGGGGGTT